AGAAAATATATTTTAAAAAATAAATAAAAAATACATATAAGACAAATCTGGGTTTTTCTTCTTTTTATATAAATTTTTTACTTTTTTGCCAAAACCGGTTTGGCTCAGTGGATAGAGCGTTGGCCTGTGGACTGAAAGGTCCCAGGTTCGATTCCGGTCAAGGGCATGTACCTGGGTTGCGGGCACATCCCCAGTGGGAGATGTGCAGGAGGCAGCTGATCGATGTTTCTCTCTCATCGATGTTTCTCACTCTCTATCTCTCTCCCTTCCTCTCTGTGAAAAATCAATAAAATATATTTAAAAAAATATATTTAAAAAAAAAAATTTTTTTTACTTTTTCAGTACCAGTGCTTCTCAACTTTTTTTCTTCTCTCCAGAATATTTACACAATTGTTATATTAGTACATTTTACTAACATCTCCCATCATACACAGTGATTTTCAAATTTTGAGGGAGGGGAGTTTTGTGGAATGAACATGTTTTTATAAATGGAAAAGATTCAACTTCAGATAGTTTTTCAAAATATTGTTAACCATCATTTTCTTCAAGAGATGGGCTAGAGGAAGAGGTTTACATTTCATAATTTTGAAACACAGATCAGCAATTCTAGTTCATACCACATATCTTCCCTAAGTAACCAGAGAATTTGTCTGCTTACCACTGAAATCATCACAAATAAAATTCTCTCTCTTTTCAGTACTAACTTGATCTTTTAGTTTCTCTCCTATATTGTCATTTCATAATTGTGCTGGGTTCCCTTGAGACAGTAAGCTATTTGAATTTCAGAATATACTTAGGCTTGTCCTGTATTTGCTAGGCCCTATAAGTGTCTGCTGCCTATCTGGATCTAGACAGGAGAAAATACTTACATGCAGGCAAATCTCTGGTATTTTGGGTTTGATTCCAGACTGCCTTAAAGCGAGATCGCAATAAAGTGAATCATAATCTTTTTGCTGGTGGAAGGTTTCGTCTTCAATTTACAAAAACTACAACATGAAGTACATTAAAGTAAAGCACAAGAAAACAAGATCTGCCTATACAGCCTTTTGAACATAACGTTAAAAAATTAGTCAGTGGCTAGGAGATGGGATGGAGCAAGTTGAACAAAAAACACAGCCCTTAATTTGACAACACATGCAGGAAATAGATATAGTGTAGTAGAGTGGGTAGTGGTATGAGATGAGGTAAGACAGACATTTGGGTTCAATTAACAGAGCCTTGAGTGCCTGTTGAAGATTATGGACTTTATCCTTTGGCTAGTTCTCAAACTTTAATAGGCATAAAAATCCCTTGGAGGATCTTAATATTTATATCTCAGAGATTTTTATATTATTGTCAGGAATCAGTATTTAAATAAGCAGCTCCGAGTAATTTTGATGTTGGTCTGGGAACCTCGTTGAAAACTACTGTTGTAGTCTGAGATTTGTGTTAGAGAGACCTGGCAACACTGGGGAGTGGAAGCCAGAAGGTTATGGCTTAACTTTCAAGTCAGAAGTAGAAAGGCCACAACAAAAAAGACAAGAACCTCATTGCCGAGATACTAAAAAGATAGAGTGCACAGGATTTGGTGACTTACAGGTTGTGATGAGTGAGTGGAAAGGAATTAAGAATGACTTAAGGGTTACTGAGTTAGGCAACTGAATAGATGGATGAAGGTTAGAAATACAGAAGGAAAGAGTCCAATTGAAAAATGAATAGAGCAGTCAAAGAAAGACAAGTACCGTAAGATTTCACTCATGTGGAATTTAATGAACACACTCAACTACCATGCAAAATAGAGACAGACTCATAGACATTAGTCAGACAGTTGTAAAGAAAACAAATATTTTATATTTACCCGCCAAAAGCGGGGGGGCGGGGGTGGTGGCAGGAGGCGCAAGGACCTGAATAGACAGTTCTCCAAAGAAGACAGATAGGACAAGATGCCCGATGTCACTGATAGCAGAGAAATGCAAATTAAAACCATAATTACACTTCACAGCTATCATTAATAAATCAACAAACAAGTGTTGAGGATATGGAGAAAAGCTAACTCTCATACATTGTTGGTGGAAATGCAGATTGGTACAGCCACTATAGAAAACATGGAAGTTCCACAAAAAATGAAAAAACAGGCTCAGCCTGCATGGCTCAGTGGTTGAACATTGACCTATGACCCAGGAGGTCATGTTTCAGTTCCTGGTCAAGGCACATGCCCCAGTTACCGGCTCAATCCCCAGTAGTGGGTGTGCAGGAGGCAGCCAATCAGTGATTCTTTCTCATCAATGTTTCTGTCTCTCCTCTCCATTTACCTTCCTCTCTGAATGTGTGTGTGTGTGTGTGTGTGTGTGTGTGTGTGTGTGTGTATACATTAGAGGCCCGGTGCACGAATTCATGCACAGCCAGGGGTAGGGGCCCTGGGCCGTTGGCGGGCCAGCCCTGCCCCCTGGTCAAACTCCTGGTTGAGGGGACAATTTGCATTTTACCCTTTTATTATATATATAGGATAAACATATCCTCAGGTGAGGATTTAAAAAAAAAACTTGAACACAATGGTAATTTAATATAGTATCTTATGCTTCAAGGAATCAAAGTAGGAAAAGGCACAGTGATCTTTTGATTTGGTAATTCAGGATGTCATTTCTGACTTTTACCAGAGTGGTTTCATTTGGATGAGGGTAGAAAGCTAAATTGTAATGGCTTGAGGAGTGTGCAGTTGAGGAACTGAAGAGGTTGACATATGTGAACTGTCAGTGTTTTGGTCCCGTTAGAACAGTTGTATAGTCCAAGTATTCTGTAGCATGAACTTGAATTCAGTACACAGTTGGAGCTTTAATTTTTCTAATTTATATTGAGGAGTTTGTGAAAATAAACATTTATATAATTTTAGTTCTAAAGACATTTTGTAACCCTTTGCAGTCTAACTTGTTGCCATCTAGTTATTTACAGTTTAGCAAACTACAGTAAACAAAAGACATGGCAGGGTGAAGAAACACTCTCTGTAATGATAGAACAAATAAGGTCACACGTACATAAAAGCACACACATGCTTTAAATGGATTTTGCTATTTTATTTTTTTATATATATGTTTTTATGATTTCAGAGAAGAAGGGAGAGGGAGAAAGATAGAAACATCAATGATGAGAGAGAAACATTGATCGGCTGCCTCCTGCATGCCCCCTGCTGGGGAGTGAACCCACAACCCAGGCATGTGCCCTTGACCCCGAATCGAACCCAGGGCCCTTCATTCCACAGAATGATGCTCTATCCATTGAACCAAACCGACTAGGGTATGATTTTGCTATTTTAAAACATTTTATTTCTAGCTTTATCCATAGAATAAGAAATTATGAAAGGAAGTTGTCAAGCAGTTCGTTAGAACAAAGATATTGACAAAAGATAAAAGGAAAGTGAAAAATAGAGAACCAGGGTGAAAATGAAAAGGAAACAGGCAAGGTGTTTTGCTACCAAGTTTGGTCTCTGTTGCAGTCTTTAGTTATTTTTCTCTGCTGTTTATCGTTTTTCCTTCCCTGCCCAGATGCTTTCCAGGTTTAAGAGCTTTGCAATCCCTTTGAGGTTTGAATATCTGTTTCACTCCATCCCATATAATGAAAGGCTAATATGCAAATCGACTGAATGGTGGAACTGCTGGTTGCTGTGATGCACACTGACCACCAGGGGGCAGACACTCGATGCAGGAACTGCCCCCTGGTGGTCAGTGAGCTGCCCCAGGGGGAGCACCGCTCAGCCAGAAGCCCTGAGCCAGACTTACAGCTGGCGAGTGCAGCAGTGGTGGCAGAAGCCTCTCCCGCCTCCCCGGCAGTGCTAAGGATGTCTGCTGACTTAGGCCCACTCCCCATGGGTCAGTTGGACATCCCCTAAGGGCTCCTGGACTGCCAGAGGGCGCAGGCTGGGCTGAGGGACACCCCCGGGCCTCTAGTTTTCTGTACAATGGAAAAAACATACCTGAAGCTTATTTAGAATTAAATTAGGTAACCTAAGTTAAAATGACAAGAATAATGCCTAACACAAAATATGTATTGGATGAATGATGGCTCTTTATCACGTCCCTAGATTTCACAATGTGTGTGTGTGTGTGGGTGTGTGTGTGTGTGTGTGTGTGTGTTTAGGGAGATGAAAAACACATTTAAATTCTGATCCATTGATCTTGAAGTAGAAATTTCTAGTGGTGTGGTTTAAAGAGTGATGAGATAGAAATGTCTTTGAGGGATGTCTGCTAACTCTTCAAACTAGGCACACCCAAGTAGACATGACTATGAGGTTGACATCATAACTTTTGGTTTCCTGCTTTCCAAGTCCAGAATTCTATTATTTTCAGACTCCATAAAGGCAGCTAGGTTCAAGTGGACAGTTTTGCCCTGGCACATTCATAAAATACTGATGTGTAAGCTGACATGCCAACTCGCCAACTGTAATAATTTACATATATCTCTTTGGAAAAGCTGCATGGAGAACCAGAGTCTAATAAGGAAGTTGTTTAAATTTAGAATCAAAGAGTGTCACTAGGATATTAGTGGTTTGTAACATTATTGATCATAATTTACCTTTCAAACTAGCATAAAGAATATTAAAATCGTTGATAATCTAGCCTCTTAGAGGTAAGCAGGGAATTATTGCAGATAACTCATTATTGGTAACATCTCCATCCAGATGTTACCTGTCTTTTTCTTTAAATAAAAAATAGAATCATCTTGTATAACTCTTAATAGCTTGCTTTTCAAATCTGTACCATATAACTCTTTCCATGTTAGTCAGCTGTGTTGGTTTCTGAACTGATGAATAATCTGAGCTATTCTAGGTTAGCTAGAGTGTGACCTCCCTGGGAGCCATGATGTTGCTTCGTGCTTCTTTGTATCAATGTACTTAGGACAGCATCTGGTTTATCATATATCTCAGAGAATGTGTTGAATGGAAGCACAGCAATAAACTGAAGCAAGCACATGAGCTAGTATCAGCCTCACGATATGTAGATAACTTTTTTCTTTTCCACTCATTGTAGGACCTACTAAATGAAGCAAAACAGAGACTCGGCAAGGTGGTGAAAGATACAACTAGATACCAAGTGCTGCTGGATGGACTGGTTCTCCAGGTACCCTTATAGACCAGGTCTATTACAGTTGATAGCCATAGTTCTTAAAAAATTGACAAAATATATTATAGGCCAGCTCTCTTTTTCTTTTTTTCTCATCTTAGCTTCTTTCCTTTTGCTCTTTTCCTTTTCTAATAGAGAAATGTATACTGCATGAGAAGACAGTAATGTCTGTCAGGTTGAGTAAGACTTCCAGGTTTACCATTCTTTTATATTATTGATTTTTTACATAACTCAAGGGTCAGATTTGCTTGCAATCTTCAGCTTTAACTTCTTTTTTTGAAAATACATTTTTATTGATTTCAGAGAGGAAGGGAGAGGGAGAGAAACATCAATAATGAGAGAGTATTATTGATTGGTTGCCTCCTGCATGCCCCACATTGGGATCCAGCCCGCAATGGGGGCATGTGCCTGAGCGGGAATCAAACTGTGACCTCTTGGTTCATAGTTCGACGCTCAGCCATTGAGCCACGCTGGCTGGGTTTCAGCTTTAACTTTTAAAACTTAAATTAGTTTTCCTAATTTGATTTTGCCACTAATACTTGCTTTTGATATTGAGGTTCAGACCAAAGGCTGTATACATTTTAACTCTATACTCCTTGGCTGTGAATCCTTATTTTACTTATGCTAATTACAATAATATTTGTCTTCAACTTAGCTGATGTAAGATAAGACTCCCATATAAATTTTGTTTCTACCACCTGAGCAGTGGGTATATTTATTTGGTTTGTGATATCAAGATCGTGTTTCCTTGTTCTTGTATTATGCGCTGTCTTTTTAGGAAATTTACAAGGGAACTTTTTTTCAAAACTAGATGGAAGAATCATAAAAACATTCTATTTATTCCTTAATAATTGCATCTGATTGTGTCATAGGGTTTGTACCAGTTGTTGGAGCCCCGGATGATTGTTTGTTGCCGGAAACAGGATTTCCCTCTGGTAAAGGTAAAGATTAGAGAAAGAGACCTCTTTTTTTTTTTAAAGATAAGAAACTTAGGGATGAAATGCACCCCTAAGTTTCTGTGTGTCTGACCTTTAGATGACAGCTCAACCATGGAGATTAGAGTTTTAACACATTGTAAATATTCATTTAAGTGACCTCAGTTTCTCATTTCTTAAAGAGGTCACGTTGCCATTTGAATTAGTACCCTCCCCCCTTTCTGGAGACTTCAGAATACCATAATCTTCTGAAAATGCAACAATAGAGGCAGCACCTAGTAGAATTGAGCAAACATAGTTAACACTATCTTAAAGTGGCAAACTGCTCTCAGACCAGCAAGGCTGGGCTCTAACCTAATACAATCCTGTACCTAGAGAAAGAAGGTGGCTACCAGAAAAGAGGTTGATCAGCAGTGTAAACATAGCTGTAGTCCCAGGGGCAGATATTAAGGTGCTCTTCCATGCCCTTTCCAAGTGAGAAGGTTCCCTGGTCTGAAGGGTATGACCTGCTGGCCCCATGACATGTACCTAGGTTGTAGTAGTAGGTTGACACTCTGTGCTGAAGGAGCCTGTGGCTGGTAAACCACAAGTCATAGAATGTACTCCCCTAGCTATGACCCTGTGCTATCAAATTGCTCTTCAGATTAAAATTTTTCAATATAGCTTGATTTCACTTAGTCCCTTAGCGATCATATTTATTTATAATACATGACATATTTTCGTTCTTACTATAATTTGTCTTTCCAAATAACTTTTCTCCTAGGGAAGAAAATGTACCAGCCAGATTACGTAGTGTTCATTCCCCTTAGTCTCCATGATAAATTAATAAATTGTGGTTCTAGTTTATAAACCGTGTCAGTAACTTGGATCCATGTTGTGCTAACAGCCTTGTTTATGAACTTCTACAACAGAGAGGAAAACTCATCAGAATTCACCAGGGTGATAATCTTGCTATGGAAGCAGGTCCAACTGCCAACTGGCCATTTCTAGATGACACAATGATAATGCTAGGTGTTAAGCAAATTTCTTCTTGAAACTAAATAAAGTGTTAACATCCAGTGTCATGAGTATTTCTCCAAAGTGGTGCTACATTAGATTTGAGAAGCAGGGAAGAGTAGAATATATGCATAAATTTGCTCAACTGGTAATATTGTCAGAGAAAAATATTAAAATATTAAAGTTCCTTCAAAGAAATGTCATTTACATTTGTAGAGTGTGTACAGTATTGCTCAAAGGACTTTCCACTAATTACGTGTTATCACACTAATTGCAGTGTAGTAGTTAAAAATTCATTTTCGTCTGTTTTTTTCCCCAGTGAGCTCCTTTCTTTATAAAATTGGTAAAAAGTACATAACAAAAAGCTAACCATTTTAAATGTACAGTTGTTTTAATTACAGTAAGTACATGAATTGTTGTGCAACCATCTTTTACTTATTTGGATGTACCCAGATGTAGAATTGTTGGATCATATAGTAACCACCATCCATCTTTACAATATTTTCATCTTCCCGAACTGAAACTCTGTCCCTATTAAACACTAACAGCCCATTCCCCTCATCCTCAGCCCCTAGCAACCACCATTCTGCTTTCTGTCTCTGTGAATTTAACTATTGTATGTACCTCATATAAGTAGAATCATAGTATTTTTCCTGCTGTGTCTTAGTTCACTTTGACAAGGTTTATCTTATATTGTAGCATGAGTCAGAATTCCCTTCCTTTTTAAGGCTGAATTGTATGTGCATACCACATTTTGTTTATCTGGTCATCTGTCAATAGGCACTTGGGTTGTTTCTCGCTGTTGGCTATTGTGAATAGTGCTGCTATGCACATTGGTGTACAAATATCTGTTTGAATCTCTACTTTTACTTATTTGATGTACCCAGATGTAAAATTGTTGGATCATATAGTAACTCTATGTTAAATTTTTTAAGGAATTACCACACTGTTTTCTATAGCAGCTGTACTATTTTACATTCCATTAGTAAATCATCTATTCTCTTACCTGAAATATATAGCTGCTTGTATTGTTTGTGGATTTTTATTTTTATTTTGCGGGGGGGGGAAAGTTTCTGCTAAAACCTGTCATTTTCTGCTTTTCCAGGCTGCAGTGCAAAAAGCAATCCCTATGTACAAAATCGCCACCAATAAAGATGTTGATGTCCAAATTGATCAGGAGGTCTACCTACCTGAGGAGATGTAAGGAGTATTTCTGCTTTTAACATCTGGCTTTCTTTCACTGGGAGAATGGCCTTTATACTAGGCCTGTTGTAAAGGGAGTTTTCTCCAAGGCACTCTTTGCCTTAAGGATAGAAGTGTGGCTGTTTTTTTCTATTAGTACTCTGTTGTGGTTCTTCCTTATTAGCCAGGTAGACAATGACTGGGAGGGAGGATGAAGTAAGAAAATAATAATAAGGTCACAGTCCATTAAAATTTCCCAAAGAAATTTTGCAAAACCTTACCCAGACTTTGTGTCATAGCCTGCTTATTTAAGAAATATTTGATAAAAGTAAAATTTTGGTATAGCAAAAGAATTTCATTCCCTGAGGCTCCATGTAATAGAACCACACCTTTTGCCTTATGCCTATTAAGTGCTGAGAAACAGGAATGGAATGATAAAAGGCTAGAGGCAGGACTTTCTAAGAGGGAGTTTGGTACAAGGTTAACAATGGTATCTTTTATCTGACACACAGCTTTGCCTTATCAGTACCCCTGGTAATTAGCAGAATAGGGCCTCGAGGAAACATTCAGATGAGGATTCTTTATCTGTTAATTTGTAAACTAGGACTAAATCCTCCCCCTTCTGATTTGCTGGTTGTTAAAATTAAAGTTGGTGCTATTTCAGAAAATCAAATTGGCATGTAGCAGTCACTTGGTAAATGACATTTATTAACACCCATACCTTAAATCCTAAGAAGCTTTTTAAATTTATTCAAGCTTACTGCTTATGTTTATTGGCCCCTTGCAGTATTTATTTATTTAAAATACTAGAGGCCAGGTGCATGGATTCGTGCACCAGTGGGGTCCGTCGGCCTGGCCTGCACCCTCTCAGTATCTGGGACCCCTTGGGGGATGTCAGATAGCCGGTTTTGGCCCGATCCAGATAGGAGGGAGCCCAGTCCCTGCAGGCCCCATCCAGCCAGGGGCGAGCCCTATCCCGTGCATTGAGTGTCTGTCCTCTGGTGGTCAGTGCTTGTCATAGCGACTGGTCAACCGGTCATTCAGTTGCTTGGGCTTTTATAGATAGATAGATAAATAGATACATACATACATACATACATACATACATACATACATACATACATACTAGTGGCCTGGTGCATTAAATTTGTCTATGAGGGGGATGTCCCTCAGCCTGGCCTGCACCCTCTCCAATCTGGGACCCCTCAGGGGATGTCCGACTGCTGGTTTAGGCCCGATCCCTGTGGACATCCTTCTCACAATTCAGGAACGCTGACTCCTAACCGCTCACCTGCCTGCCTGCCTGATCACCCCTAACCACTCTGCCTGCTGGCCTGCTCTCCCTCAACTGCCCTCCCTGCCGGCCTGCTCTCCCCCAACTGTCCCCGCCGCCAGCCTGATCACCCCCAACTGCTCCCCCCTCCCCAGCCAGCCTGCTCACACCCAACTGCCCCTCCCCCGCTGCTGGCCTGATTACCCCCAACTGCCCTCCCCTCCTGATCTGATCGCCCATAACCTCCTCTGCCTCGACCCCGCCACCATGGCTTTGTCTGGAAAGTCTCCCTGAAGGTCTCCTGGTCTAATTAGCGTATTGCCCTTTTATCAGTATAGATTTTTATTGATTTCAGAGAGGGAAAGAGATAGAAACTTCAGTAATAAGAAAAAATCATGATTGGCTGCCTCCTGCATGCCCCACACTGGAGATCAAGCCCACAACCTGAGCATGTGCTCCAACCAGAAATCAAACCCTGACCTACTGGTTCATAATTGTCAACCACTGAGGCATACCAGCCTGGCCCCTTGTAGTATTTAGACATCCCATACCCCAAAACTTTCCTATCTTCCTGAAATCTATAAAAATTATTTCCCCTGTTCTTTGTAGAGCTGGTGGAGTTGAGATCTATAATGGGGATCGTAAAATAAAAGTTTCCAATACCCTAGAAAGCCGACTGGATCTCATAGCTCAGCAGGTGAGTGTGGGAATACTTTTGTTAGTTGGTCTGTTACTTTGAAGTGACACAGAGAACACATCCATTCACTGGTGTTTGGGATTTATTGCTGTATCCATATTTTTTGACATTTTCTTAAAAGGTATGGGATTAAACATTTAGTGGCATTGACTGAGTCAGTACCATTTATATGAGGGGGATTTGAAGTCAGAAAGAGGGTTTTGTTTACATTTACAGTAATAATGTATACATTTACTGCAAGTGGAAATGCTGACCAAAGTTCTTTCTCCAGCAAAAATTATGGCAACTAAAGTAAATACTTGTTTAAAAAAATTACCGTGGGCTGTTGGCTCTTCAAATATTCCCATGTTTGCACAAATAAATTATTTGGAAACAGGCAGGAAATTTCAATTATTTCAACGTGCTGGGCATCTCCCAGTAGTGGTGGTCTACTGCTAACTTGTCTTATAGCTAAGCACTTTGATGTTGAGTATATCATCTTCTTGTAACTTAAACCATACAGCTTTGTTACCCAATAGAGTAGCCACTCACTACAAATGGATATTTAAATTAAGTAAAATGAAAAATTCAGTTCCTTATATGCACTAGCCACATTTCAAATGCACAGCAACCACATGTGGCTAGTGGCTACTCTGTTGAACACACAGCCTTAGAAGTTTGAGGTTAAATCCTAAGGATTTTCACTTGCAATAACAAGTACCTCAGCACAGCTTGCATTGTATGTTTTCTGCTTGATACATAGACATTCAATAAATATTTTTTGAAATAAAGAATGTAGGTGATACAGAATATTATGATGAGATACAACTGTTAACAGGTTCTTCTTCCATCACAACATAACAGAAGCCTTAGACAGTAATGCCTTGAGTTTTTTTTGTTTTTAATGTTTTTATTGATTTTTAGAGAGAAAGAAAGGGGATGGGGGTGGAGGAGAGAGAGAGAGAGATCAGTAGCCTCCTGCACTCACTCTAACCAAGGATTGAACCCACAACCTGGATATGTGCTGTGACTGGGAATGAACTTGCTACCTTTGGTGCACAGGATGATGCTCAACCAATCGAGTGACACTAGCCAGGCCACGTTTAGTTTCTTAGTTTTTTTCTTCTTCTTCTTTGTCTCCTTTAAAGCAGTTAGTCTTAACCCAAAATTTTTTATTGGTTAAGTTTCTCATCGAGGATTCTGTGATAGTGCTTTGGATAAGTAAAGGACAGATTTGATGCTTTTAGCTTTGTGATTTCCTTCCCAGCCATTTAGGGGTTCATGACTTGCCATCTCTGTTAAGATCTACAGTTCTTCATAAATGATGATGGTAGGAGACTTGACTTTGGGTGGTGAACATACAGTTCAATATACAGATAATATATCATAGAATTGTGTACCTAAAACCTATATAATTTTATTAACCAATGGCACCTCAATAAGTTCATTAAAAATTTAAAAAGATGTGCAGTTCTTCCCAAGTTCTCCAGTTGACAAAACACTTATTGATTAAAGATCTCATTTCTTTGCAGATGATGCCAGAAGTACGAGGAGCCTTGTTTGGTGCAAATGCCAACAGGAAGTTTTTGGACTAAGCCTTTGGGAGGTGGAATTCATGCACTGCTATGATGTAGAAGTTTCTGATATTTGAAGAAACAAGATGATCTATGTAGCTTCCTCTTTGCTGTTCTAATACTCTGTATTTACTCGTGGATATCTTTCTATACTAATGCCCTTAGCCTGATTGTTAACAATGGGAGAAAGTTTCCTTTAATATGATCAGGAAACCTACTTCTAGCTTATCTAAAAGTAACACAACTTTCAGTTGGTTCTGCAGCATGAAGGTGAAGAAATCAGGTAGTTGTTGCATGGACTTTACCCAAACTTGTGATCTTCCTCTGCTTCTAGTTATCTAGTCTAGAAGTTATGAGTATGGTATGCTCTGCTGGTAAGTCTCTGCTCTTTAGGCTTAACATACATGTGGGGCATGCATTCCTTCCAGCAGTAGTAGCTTCACTGTCACCTGTTTGGGCTTAGAAATGCTCCTTATCTATAAATGTGATTTAAAATCTAAGCCATGATGCTTTATTTATTGAAACAAAACGTTTAAGTGAATTTAATTGTAGTTTATTATGCAAGACACTCTAAGTGTGTGGTTTGAGAGAGTAAAATTCTTAGTGTGGTTATCTAAAAAAGACACCATTATCCAAATTTCGGTAGCATTTGCTGGTTGACATCTGTTGGTACTTGAAACCATTAACCCTCCCTGGGTCCTATGGCACTTTCTGCTCATTTTTACCAGATCCTCACTCAGAAATGTTCCTTTTATGTTCCTTTCAGCCCCTTATAGTCTTCCACACTTACACACAAGGTGTTCAGTATTATCTGTCCTCTAGAGGGCTTGACAGCTTTATTGAGGAAATAGTTTTACTAGCTTTGGCAGTGTCATAAAAGAAACTGAGGTGTGGGGGGGGGTCTTTTGCAAGGGGAAGGGGGGCGTTTAACTGTGTGTTAAGCCTAAACACTTTTCTTCCTCCCACTCATTTTCATGCCAGTTTTGAAATGGACACAGAAAGGTAGAAGACAGACTATTCATCGCAGCCTGTCTGCTTCCTTTGCTAATTATAAGACGAGATTATAACTAGTTCAACTGTATTTCAGACAGTGTTCCATGGACATCCTATATAATAAAAGCCTAATGTGCTAAGTGTCCAGTTGTCCGGTCATCCATTCAACCAATCAAAGCATAATATGCTAATGATATGCTAAGGCTGCTCAGTCGCTCACTATGACGTGCACTGACCACCAGGGGCAGACACTCAGACCAGTAGGTTAGCTTGCTGCTGGGGTCTGGCTGATCGGGACTGAGTGAGATGGACCAGACACACCCTGGAGCCCTCTCGCAGTCCCTCCCAGGCTGGTCAACCTCCCGTGTCCCTCTCCAGCCCCGATCATGCACCGGTGGGGTCCCTTGGCCTGGCCTGTGCCCTCTCACAATCCGGGACCTCTTGGGGGATGTCGGAGAGCTGGTTTCGGCCTGATCCCACAGGCCAGGCAGAGGGACCCCCACTGGTGCACGAATTTATGCCCCGAGCCTCTAGTTGGTCTTTAAAAGCCTGTTTTTCAGAAAGAGGAAATGGGGCAAGATGGCTGCCCTGACTTTGGCCTGGCTGCTTGGTTTTAGTTGGCCTTATTCCTCAGCCATCCATAATTTGAAAGGATTTGGTTGGTTTTAAATTAGGTGCTGACTTTGAGGACTTATATGGTTCCCTTGAACTTTTGATTCTCTTTTTGCCCAAAATGAATGCTAGGACTAACCGTAAGTTATTTAGCTCAGAATAACAAAACTAAATCCTCCAAATGACTCAAGTATACTGAGCTTGAGGTGTGAAATAGAAATGTAAAATGTAGAAACAACCCTTCTATCTTTACTGTCTGTTAAGGTCCTACAGTTAATACAACCAAAGCATGTACTACTTCTGTTGAAAGGTAGTTGGTTAGGGGCTTCTGAGGCAGAATAGAGCTGTAGCCACCTTGCTTATTAGAATAAGGTTGTTTCTTCTGAGACTTAGGTAGTACTACAAGTTACAGGACCAAATACATGGTGGGTAGAGAGATGGAAGCCAGTGAAGGGACCTGAATTCCAGCTATATTTATTCAAAACACTTTAAGATATGTTCTCCAATACCAATGAAGTAGACACCTTGGGCAATCCCAAAGAGAGGGGCTATGACAAGGGCCCGGCAGCCTGCTCCTTTCATGAAGGCAGATGGTCCCTCCTGAATCCAGAGTTTCCTAGGGAGAAAGAAGAGTCCTGTGAGCTGAATGAGCAGAAGCACACCAAGCAGCGCTCAGTGACATCCTCTCCGATGTTTGTACATCTTTTCTTTGAAAGCACGTGTCACTTTCTACAGGAATGTGGGAGCCATGCCTCCCCCATTATGTGTATGCAGTTTGGTTACTAAGCAGTTGGGTCCAGGCCATGGAAAATTGGCTCAATTTGCTAGACTTTGGGAGAAAGATGCTGTAGGGATGCAAAGAAGAAAGCTCCAAGTACAACCTGCTTTCGTTGAGAGGTAAGGGAAAGCAACAGAATTCAAAGAAATACAGACCTCAGTGTAGTATAGAGATAAAATTGTTCTGTAGTTTGAGTCTAGGTGCACACCAACATAGAGGGAACTGTCCCAGCCACATCTGTAAAGGGATACAGGGCCCTCACCTGGCACAGTCAGTGATCCCACTGTAGTTGTCCTCAACCAGACCTTTCTTGAGCGTTTGGATTCGAGTTTTCAAAACTAAAACAAACGTTAAAATTAGGAGAGAACATTTTGCTTTTGGTATTCTCTTCTCAACATTAAATGGTCAGATTTCCTTTTATAGCCAGCATACATAAAACTGAATCCTGAGGCTATCTCTCCCATTGTGGGATATGTAATTGAAGGAATCAGAAACTACACGATCCCTTAGTTCACTCATGCTGTGGGAAGATCCACCTGTGTTAGAGGAGCTGACTGTTGTCTAAAGATAGAGCATTGTCTCATAGTGTGTAGCTCCTGCCTTTAGCCTTCAATTTTAAAGTATCAGCAACATTTATAGCTGATACTCACAACTCTATTGGGGGACAAAAAGCTAGTGAAATCAGTACCTAGAAAGTAAGGGGATTTGTCAGTGATAAGAACTAGACCCCACGTTCTATGGGTGGACCTGACAGTGGCCACAGGTTATGACCCAAGAGTTTTTAGGTTGGAGCTGTTTTGTCTCTATCCTAAAAGTGCAGTATTACTACTTATCCTATAAATGACTCTACAGGTAACTAATTTGTAAAGCAAGTCAACACTAGAGGCACTTACCATCCAGAGGTGTTACTATGACAGCCGCTATGGAACCTGCAACACAGCCTGACATAAAGGAATGAACAAAGGAAGCCTTCCCAGTAAGTTCGTTGAAACCAAGGTTGTTGAGGTTGGCAAACAGAGGGAAGTAGATGATGGAGAAGGGAATATCTCTGCAGGAGAGGAAGAAAAACACTGAGCTTCTTGCCCTCCTGGGGCTTCTACCCAAGATCATACAGTGAGCCTGTGACCTCAAGGTAGGTCAGAGACAAGCCTACAATTCCGTATTCCTGCTCTGGCACCCATGATAATGTGGGGTGATAGCATAAGAGATCAGCTCGATTTGCCTTTCCCAACCATCCCAGTTCTTTTCTCTGCCCTCCCAGCACCTGCAGCTTAATGAGGAGCCAGATGCAGATTCAAAGACTGCTGGTGTGTTCCATAAAAGTGGGTAGGCAGGCTAAGGGAAGAGTTACTAAGCTGAGCAAGTGGCTGGTGAAGAGCTATAAGGTAAGTGTTGAGGGGATGGGCAGGAAGGTGAGGTTCATTTGTTGCCCAGAGACTAGAAAATTAACCCCTACACTGGCCAGGTAGCTCAGTTGGATAGACCATCATCCCAATATGCCAAGACTGCGGGTGTTGTTTTTTTTTAAATGTTTTTATTGATTTCAGAGAGGGAAAGGGAAACATCAATAATGAGAGAGAGAATCATTGATTGCCTCCTGCACACCCCGTACTGGGGATTGAGCCTGCAACCCAGGCATGGGTCCTGACTAGGAATCGAAACCGTCACCTGGTTCATCGGTCAATGCTCAACTATTGAGCCACATTGGCCAGGCAAGGCTGCAGGGCACATATAAGAAGCAACCAATGAATGCATAAATAACAAATTGATGTTTCTCCCTGCCTCTCTAAAATCAATAAAAAAATTTTTTAAAAAATTGAACTCCCTCTTTAAAAAAAAATGTTGCCCCCTGCCCCCAATAGCACAGTAAAATAGGATATATACACTCATTTACTTATAGATGACCCACACTCCTGTGTATACGTACATTCTAGGTGCCTTTGGGCCACAGAACACCCTATAGTCATGTGGGCCTGGCCACTGAAGAAAGGTCCTAAAAGTAGTCTTTCAGATACCCAGTCTGTAATCCTGCCCAATTGTGGACAAAATATGAAGCATAGAGATATTTGAAAACAGGCAGGTTGGGATGGCAATCCCTCTGGTCCTCTTCCCTCTCCCTATTCACTTGGGGCCCTCTGTCCCAAGTTTGGGAAGAAAGTCTTACCTGAGAAGAGTGGCACCCAAACCCTTATAGAGACCAGCCAGGCCCTGGGTTCGAAGCAGCTCCCAGGCGATGACAGTGGCAGATGGACACTTGTGTGTGGAAGCTGACCCAATGGTGTAGGACCTAAAGGCAGGTGCTGAGGCCGAACCATGGTGATGGACTGCCGAAAGGGAAAGGACAGACTTCCCATCACAAATTAGGCCCCAACAGGCACTGCAAAACACTTGCAAGAGTATGGCTCCCAATTCCGTAGTTCTTCATTCTCCTGTGTTTTTAATTTGTCTTTCATTTCTAAACCATCTCTGAACCTATTTACATAGTTTCATCCTGTTGGGTCTTTGGGATGTAGGAATCCCATATGTCTTCTGCCTGATGTAAAGCGGCAAATTCTTTTTGTTTGTTTAAAAGTTCTCCTTCAAGCCAAAACCGGTTTGGCTCAGTGGATAGAGCGTCGGCCTGCGGACTGAAAGGTCCCAGGTTCGATTCCGGTCAAGGGCATGTACCTGGGTTGCGGGCATATCCCCAGTAGGAGATGTGCAGGAGGCAGCTGATCGATGTTTCTCTCTCATCGATGTTTCTAACTCTCTATCTCTCTCTCCCTTCCTCTCTGTGAAAAATCAATAAAATATATTAAAAAAATAAATAAATAAAAGTTCTCCTTCAATCCCAGCCCATGTGCTCTGTGGTTAGAGCCTCGGCCTGCACACCAGAGGGTCGAGGATTTGATTACTGGTCAAGGCCATGTACCTGCCCACAGTGAGGGAGCATGTAGGAAGCAACCAATCAATGTGCTATTTCTCTCTTTTTCTCTCCCATCCCCCCCGCCCCCCACTCTCTAAAAATCAATGGTAAAAAATATCCTCACTCCTTGAATGAGGATTTAAAGAAACACTATCTCCTTCAGTTGATTGGAGTGTGATCCCATGCACCGAAAGATCGCATCACAGATTATTTTCCTGGTCAGAAAACACTCAGGTTGTGGGTTCAATCCCCAGTTGGGGTGCATGCAGGAGACAACCCATTGATGTTTCTCTCTTCCTCTCCCTCTCTCTCAAAGATACAACTGGAAAAAAAAAATCAGACTTCAACAGAGCCTCCTCTCTCTACCATTCTAAGATTAGGTGATCATGTCCTTTTTATTCCCTGCATCATTTTGTAGAATTTTATTTTTGAGATGTCAACCCATTTTAGTTGAATAATTCAGAGCTCATAATACAATGAGTTAAACATCTAATAATAGAATGGAATTCTTTTTTCCTGAGCATATTAAATACAAGCATTTCAAATGTGGTTGAGTCCCATTAATGACCACAAGATTCAATGCACTGAAATTGTGTGAATATTGATTCTCAGTGTGTGAGAAGCTTTGCATAGATTATAAGTTCTTGCTGAAAGAAAGCAATTTAATGTCCCAGTTTTGTTTGATATCCATCAGGGCAGCATTTCATACTAAGAAGCTAATGACAGCATATTGTCTTATGCTAATAATCTAGGGCTGCAGGCCTCAGACAGTTCTAATCAATGAACATTATTTTCCCCATGTCTCCTTTAAGTGCACATAATTATTTCACCCATATCCTAGCTTTCTCTTCTTTTAAAATGTTTTAGGAATACTAAAACTTCTTCTCCAAGTTGAAAAACAAAACATTACAAAGCTTTTTACTCTGCAAAGCAAAACAGTGAGGGCTTTCCAGTGCCTGAACTGTATTCTTTCTGCAGTTTTATTTGCTTTAGACTGGACTGATCCACCTGAAAAGCACAGCACATGTACACAGTTGGATTGAGAAGGGAAAGGGAATACACATTTATTGAAGACCTGGCACATGACATGTTGGCTTATTAAATTCAGACATTGTGGTTTAGCTCTGAGGAGAAACCCTCTGTCCCACCCCACCAGGGTTAGCCTCCTATTAGACGGCCAATCATTGCTTTTAATATATGCTTTGGTACCTATTCCACTCTAACTTTTTGAGAGGACCAGGATTTAGCAAAAGACCAAACTTCTCTTCCAGAGAAAACCAAAAGGATAGAGATGGTTCTTTTTATGCATTCCCACTAAAGCCCCACTTCTATAGCATAATATAATAGAACTTCTATTTACTGAAGTGTTCAGGAGCAAGCCATTGACAAATTTCTTAAGATACTTAGGAAAACAAGACTAAACGTTAAGGCAATAAGATAGAGGTATTAGGGTGAGACCTCTGTCCTTCCAAATCAATATTCTCATTTCTGCTCTTTGTTCTAGAGCTGGAAGTGTTAAAATCTAGAATGGTAACCATAAAATAAAAACTTCTACTAACCTAGAAATCTGATTGGGTCACACAGACTAGCAAATGAGTGCAGATGTGTAAAAATCTATTCTGATTATAGCCTTTATTGATTCCATGTGAAGTTGGGATAGGCCTCACCTAAGCGCCCAGCATCCTGCAACTGAATCTTGAGCATTTCCATGGGACAGGTAACCACCACCTGGCACATTCCAGCTCCACATCCAGCTAGCATCTCCATCTTCAGATTCCGCTGCATCCTATGGGACCAGGAGTTGGCATCCTTCAGTCACAGGCCAGCCCTCCTATCCCACCCTGGCCATCTACTATCCCTTGGTGGTTGGGACTCTCCATGCATGATATTTAGCCTTGTTCCCATTGACTGCCACTCACCCAGCTGAGTAAATAATTACCTGGCGCTCAGGCTCAGTCTCCTTAAAGATATGACACTAATTTTAAAACAGACTGCCAGGGAGGTAGCACCTGCATAGAAGTTGAAACTAGTACAGTGGAAATGCCTATTGCAGGAACTTGATTGTTCCTGATCCCTTAAGCAATATTACTAAGGTGATGGGAGGCACAAGGAGAACTTAAAAATCATTAGCATAGCCCTGGCCAGGTAGCTCAGATGGTTACAGTGTTTTCCCCATACACCAGATTGTGGGTTTGAACCCCAGTCAGGGCACATATAAGAAGCAACCAATGAATGCATAAATAAGTGGAACAACAAGTCAATGTTTTTTTTTCTCTTCCTCTCCCCCTTTCTCTAAAAATAATTTTTTAAAGAAGTTCATAAGTATAAGAAAGACAGAATAGAGAGCCCAGAATCAAGAGCCCCTGCATATACACTCAACTAATATCTGGCAAGGGAGCCAAGAACATGCAATGGAGAAAAGACAGTCTCTTCAATGAATGGTGCTGGGAGAGCTGGATATTCACATGTAAAAAAATGAAACAAGAGCCCTATCTTACAAAACACAAAATTTAATTTGAAATGGATTAAAGACTTAAATGTAAGACCTGAAGGAAAGAGGGAAAAAGCTCCTTGACGTAGGTCAACCTAAAGCACAAGAAACAAAAGCAAAAATTAATAAATGGAATTATATCAAACTAAAAAGCTGCATAGCAAAGGAAATAGCAACAACATGAAAAACCAATCTATAGAATGGCAGGAAATATTTGCTAATCATATATCTGATAAGGGGTTAATATTCAAAATATTTAAAGAGGGTGGTTGAATAATTCAGAGCTCATAATACAATGAGTTAAACATCTAATAAATTGACAAACTCAATAACAAAAAAACTCAACAAAAACACACACAAATAATCCAATTAGAAATGAGCAAAGGACCTGGATAGACATTTTTCCAAAGAATATATTTAAGTGGCCAGCAGGTACATGAAAAGATGTTCAACATCACTAATCATCAGAAAAATGTAAATTAAAGCCATAATGAGATCACCTCACACCTATTAGAATGTCATAACAAAGATGAGATGGTAAATGTTGGTGAGATGTGGAGAAAAGGGAACCCTTGTGCACTCACTGTTGGTGGGATTGCCTGGTGAAGCCACTATGGAAAACAATATGGAGTTTCCTCAAAAAATTAAAAATAGAACTACCATATGACCCAGCAATCCCACTTCTAGGTATATATCCAAAGGGGACAAAATCACTGTTGAGACCTCTGTTCCCCCATGTTCATTGCAGCATTATTTACAGCTAGAGGCCTGGTGCACGAAATTCATGCACGGCGTGGGGGGATGGGGAGGTTCCCTCAGCCCAGCCTGCACCCTCTCCAATCCAGAACCCCTCGGGGATGTCCGACTACCTCTCGCAATCTGGGACCGCTGGCTCCTAACCGTTCACCTGCCTGATCGCCCCTAACCACCTCTGTCTGCCTGCCTGATCACCCCTAAGTGCTCCCCTACCAGCCTGATCTCCCCTAACTGCTCCCCTGCTGGCCTGATCGCCCCTAACTGCCTCTGCCTCACCCTGCACCCGAGACCCAGGATTCCCTCCTCTGGCCAGTCGCAGGAACCTGGGACCCGGGCTCCCTACCTCTGGCCAGCCACAGTCACCCAGGTCCTGGGCTGGCTTCTCCAGGGCCAGCCGCAGCCATAGAAGACCATGTGCAGGCAGTTTCACCCAGGCCACAGGCACAGGCGCTGGTGCCCAGGACCATAGGGTGGGCGGGTTGTCCCTCTCCTGGGCGGCAGGTGCAGGTGCTGGCACTCAGGACCGCAGTGCAGGCAGTTTGTCCTCCCATGCCACAGCCTTGGCTGCTGGCGCCTGGGACCGCAGGGCAGGTGGCTTGTCCCTCTCTCAGCCCACAGCCTGGCTGGTCCCCATTCCTCTCTCGCAAGCTCATTTGTGCCTGGCTAGTCCCCATTCCTCTCTCCACAGTGTTGAGTGTCTGAGCTGTTATGGCATGACGGTGTGAGGGCATGACAACCATTTGCATATTAGCTATTTATTATATAGAATATATATAATAAACAAACTCATAGCAAAAGAGATCAAATTTTTGGTTATGAAAGTGAGGGGAAAGGAATTGGATGAAGCTGGTCAAAAGGCACAAACTTTCATTTATAATAAGTAGTGGGGATGTAATGTACAACATGATGACTATAGTTAAACACTGCTGTATGGTTGCTAAAAAAGTAAATCCGGAGATTCTCTCTCGGAGAAACCAAGATGGCAGCATAGGTAAACACCGGAGTTTGCTGCCTCAAACAACCACTTCAAATATACAACCAAAAGATGGAATGGACATGATCCAGAACCACAGGAAGGCTGGCTGAGTGGAAATTCTACAACTACAAGGAAAGAGAAAAGCATACCGAGACTCAGAGGAGGCGCAGTACGGAAGTAAAATACTAAAGTGCAGAGGTGCATGCGGAGAGGGCTGGCAGCTGAGGGCGTGGTTGTCGTTTTCAATCGGGAGGGAGTCTCAGGCTCTGAGATCCAGTTCCGGGCGAGTCTCTAGGGACCCAGACTCATACGGGAGAAGCAGGACTGTCTGGCATCAGTCAGAACTCCAGGGGAGCTTTCTCTCGGAGGGGCTGGCAGGGATTTCCAGGATACTGAGAAGCGGAGATGCCATAACTGCTAGCCCCACCCTGTTGATCCCGTGAGACCCGCCCCACCCAAGCCCTGCAGGGAGGCTTTTGCTGGATAGCCTCAGGCAAAGGCTAGATTATCACCTCCCTAGAGATCCAGGAGCCAGGAAACCCAGAGGTCAGAGTGGGACCATCCAGTTTGCAGCTCCGTGGAACCATAAAGGACACACTCAGGGAGCAGACTCCGTGAGCACCAAAGCCCCATTGAAACAAGTCTTGCCCCAGAGGGGTGTCTCCAACACAGAAGTACTCCCACTGCAGACACAGCTGATTCTCACAGCCAATTGGCCTGGAGGTCAATTCCTCTCAGTGATATCTACAACAATCAAGGCTTAACTACAACAAGACTGTGCACAAAGACCACAAGGGGGTGCACCAAGAGTGTCCTCTTCAGGTAATTGGGGAGGCTGAACCACTGGGCCCTAGAGGACACTCAGCACAGAAAACCACTTTATCAACACAGGGAAGCATAAAAAATGCGGAGACAAAGAAAACGGACAGAAATGACAGAAATGGAGGAAAGCAAACTACTGGATATAGAGTTCAAAACCACACTTTTAAGGTTTTTCAAGAATTTTCTAGAAACTGCTGAGAAACTTAATGAGACCTACAAGAAATCTAATGAGACCCTCGAGGTTGTGATAAAGAACCAACTAGAAATTAAGCATACACTGACTGAAATAAAGTATATTATACAGACTCCCAACAGCAGACTAGCGGATTGCAAGAATCAAGTCAACGGTTTGAAATACGAAGAAGCAAAAAACACCCAACCAGAAAAGCAAAATGAAAAAAGAATCCAAAAATACGAAGACAGTGTAAGGAGCCTCTGGGACAACTTCAAGCCTACCAACATCCGAATTATAGGGGTGCCAGAAGAAGAGAGAGAGCAAGATATTGAAAACCTATTTGAAGAAATAATGACAGAAAACTTCCCCTACCTGGTGAAAGAAATAGACTTACAAGTCCAGGAAGCGCAGAGAACCCCAAACAAAAGGAATCCAAAGAGGACCACACCAAGACACATCATAATTAAAATGCCAAGAGCAAAAGACAAAGACAGAATCTTAAAAGCAGCAAGAGAAAGAAACTCAGTTACCTACAAGGGAGTACCCATATGACTATCAGCTGATTTCTCAACAGAAACTTTGCAGGCCAGAAGGGAATGGCAAGAAATATTCAAAGTGATGAATGCCAAGAACCTACAACCAAGATTACTTTATCCAGCAAAGCTATCATTCAGAATTGAAGGCCAGATAAAGAGCTTCACAGATAAGAAAAAGCTAAAGGAGTTCATCACCACCAAAGCAGTATTATATGAAATGCTGAAAAGTATCCTTTAAGAAGAGGAAGAAGAAGAAAAAGGTAAAGATACAAATTATAAACAACAAATACACATCTATCAACAAGTGAACCTGAAAATCAAGTGAATAATCTGATGAACAGAATGAACTGGTGGTTATAATAGAATCAGGGGCATAGAAAGGGAGTGGACTGGCTATTCTTGGGGGGGAAAAGGGGTGAGGGGGATGCGGGAAGAGACTGGACAAAAAATGTGCATCTATGGATGAGGACAGTGGGTGGGGTGTGAGGGAGGAGCGTGGGGTGGGAACTGGGTGGAGGGGAGTTATGGGGGGAAAAAAGAGGAACAAATGTAATAATCTGAACAATAAAGTTTTAATTAATAATAATAAAAAATTCTCACCCTTCAAAAAAAAAAAAAAAGAAAGTAAATCCTACAAGTTCTCATCACAAAGGGGAAAAAAATTTGTAACTTTATGAGGGGATAGATGTTAACATTATAGTAATCATTTCATAATATATGTGTGTCAGGTCATTATGCTGTACACTTTAAACTTATACAGTGTTGTATGCCAATTATATCTCAAAACTGAAAAAATATTCATCAGCTACTTGATGTATATATATTCTATATGGTCTATCTCTTATATATCTACCTGGAACTTTCAAATTACACCAGCTCATTCTCTCCCTTTACTTACCATCTGCTAAAACACACTAACCCTCAGCCATTTGTATATACATATTTATAAAAATGCACACAAATAAACTGAGGCAGAGTTGCAATCCTCTGCCTGCTATCTTCCCAAAAAAGTAGACATGCAGTGAAGGATTTCCATCTCCAGCCCCCACCTGGCCGTACCCATCTTCCATGAGCAACTGTCGGAAAAAGTCATTGGCTGCCAGCTTAATGGCCTTCTCTGGAGTGACCAAGGTGAGGTTCACTGCAGCTCCTGGAAGTAAACAACGAAGATGAGGAGGTAAGGCCATCTCCGATGTACCAGTGCCCGGAACATGCCATGTAGATGGTCTACCTGGAACTTCCAAATTACACCAGCTCATTCTCTCAGAAGTTGTTTCTGGAGTAAACAGGGTCTCTGGGGTCAAGGAGGGTTCATCTGCTTATCTTATTGAAATAAATTTCATCTCCCTACTTCCACTATCCTCCCACCACATTTTCCTTTTTAAATGGACTCATTGGTGCAGTTATTAGGAAATCTGTCCTTGCTAATGCTGCCTGTCTCTGATGCTAAATAAGCAGTTCCCCAAATTAATCCCCAATAAAAAGGCCCTGGGGGACAGGAATTGGTTTCAATTTCTGTGCTGTGTTTGCCAGGCCCACTGACAGCTCTGTGGGTCATAGAGGCTTTTTTACTTTGTTCCTAAGGGGTACTATCATATCAGTTCCTTCTCAACCCCAGCTTTGTATCCATTTTCCAAGGCATAATCATGGTTGTGCCACCTTGGATAGGGACACTGCAGGAAACAGGGACAGCACTGGCCGTTTCAAGAAAGAGCCACTCAGTAACTCCTTTCCAGGAACTCAAAACCTTTTCCATTCCTTCCTTGTCAGCCTCTACCTCTTCTGCTATTGGTGGTTGGATGCCTTGACAGCCTGAGAGAGGGGTGGGACGGAGAAGGGGGTTTAGGGGTTCACTTGCCTCCAACATCACACAGTGAGGCAGTGGTTGTGCCAGGATGGAACCTAGGGCTCCTGGGCTCCTCAGTGTATTCACTGGCATCCCCCAAACTTCACCATAACTACTGTGTCTACCAAGGCACAAGAGGGCTTATGAAAAGCAATCTGGTCCAAAAGCACTTGGTAGCCCAGGCCCATCCTAGGAGTTCCCTGGGCAGAAAGAATGCTGCTTTCCAATGTCCTATAAATTCACAAAAATCTGACTCCCCTGTGCCATACCCTCTGTCCTCACTTGGCCTCACAAGCCAGGCCTCCCCCAGGATGCCTAGTGAGCATACCTCGGTACATGCCCAGAAAGCCCTCTACCCTTGCTGTCTTCATCAGGCAATCTATCCTAGAAGCAGAAGCCAGAACGGGAAATTAGTAGTGAACAGAAGGCTGTACCACAACCCCCTTGCCTTCATCCAATGCTCTAATCCTGTTGGGCTCACCCAGTTGACCACCTCCACCTCCCTCCCCCACACCCTAATCTTACTCCCTAAAAAGACTATGGAGAGTGAGGCCCCACATCCCTCCTCTGGGAGCCCCCTCTTCTTACCCCCTTCTTCACCAATACCTACATTCCTTTGTAGATATCTTTTCCATGTTGGTTCTGAAGTCGAGTCTTGGCCAAGTCAATGGGGAACACACAGGTCACCCCCAGGAGCCCTGCCACGCCTCCATTGATGAGTTTTGCTGTGACACTAGGCCATGGGAAGGAGGGAGGCACAGAGTGAGTGAGGGAGGCACAGGCATAGGAGCATGGAAGGAGGCTGGCTGCAGAGAGCTACCCATAGCCAGGACTGGATGGGGAAATGGAGGGAGGCCAGCAGGAAAGCAGGAACAGAGCAGAGCAAGCATAGGAATGGCAGCTCCATTGACTTCAGCCCCACAGGCATCCATAGACCCCTCTCCTCAGCTTCTTGCCCCTACCCCAGCAACCCTTCTGCTCGACTTGTCATGCCTCCCTCACTTGGTCCAGTTCCAGAGATAGGTTAGGGGCCAGGACCCAGAGGGCCTAGCAGCCACTTCCTTCAGGGGTGCTACCCTCACCAGGGCTGAAGCCTCTTGCCCTAACCCCACAGGGAGATGTTCATAAAGCTAGGAGACTGCCAGGGCTTCTGGGAAGGATGCCAGAGTGCCAACTCTGCCCCCTGGGGCTCCACTAGTGTGCAGGAGGTTCCTAGCTGGGCCTCAGAGTATCCCCTGCAGAGTCTCCACCCAAGGCCTGTTCTCTGGCTTATCCCCATCTGCAGGGCCACGTGTGGACACATTTTCAAACACACTGAACTTTTATTTCAGACTTAAGGTCATCAGAACTGATTTTGAATCCTGGCTATTCTGTTAGTTTAGCAAAATAACTCACTTCTCTGATCCTTTGTTTTCCCCTCTGTACAACTGGCTCATGCATTTGGTAACTGATAGCTATTATTAATAAGAGAACACACTTTTCTGACATGATATTTCTAGTCAGCATGAAATAACCCAGGTTAATTGATATTATCTAGTCAAAAGTAAAGAAAAGTCCCTCTCGCCAAACCGGTTTGGCTCAGTGGATAGAGCGTTGGCCTGTGGACTGAAAGGTCCCGGGTTCGATTCCGGTCAAGGGCATGTACCATGGTTGCTGGCACATCCCCAGTGGGAGGTGTGCGGGAGGCAGCTGATTGATGTTTCTCTCTCATCGATGTTTCTAACCCTCTATCCCTCTCCCTTCCTCTCTGTAAAAAATCAATAAAATATATTTTAAAAAAAAAAGAAAAGTCCCTCTCATCATTTTTTAAGTCTGAAAATAGAAAATGGAGCCTAGTAACATTTTCTTATCTTTCTGGGCAGAGGCAGATGTGAGCAAAATATTTGGCGGTAGATTACCTGGAAGTGGTAAGAGCAGATAATAGGTTTAAATTTTGCAGGCTGAAGAGATGCAGTTCAAAGAATTACAAATTATATTTAAATATACGTATCTATAAAAAAAAATTTTTGTATATAGGAAATGGGTCCCTTTTGCTGTTCCCCAGGACTCAGCTAATACTTTAGGAATATGGAAGGGAAGCTTAGTGATTGTTATCCCCACAGCAGCTCTTTCCCTAATCCCAGCCCAGAGATGAGGGCTATATTAGCCAGAGTTTACCTCAAATCCTGCTTGGACATTCTTCAGGGTGCTGAGGACTCTGGTGGTCCTGGAACAGAGGCTGCTTATTCACTCCTCAGGGCAGATGGTTGGCTGATGTGGAAGAAGTGGTGTCCGTATCCTTGACTCTAACTCGCGTCGGCAGAGAGGGGTGTTGGTGGAGAGAGCTGGAGCCACCTTTCCAGCAAGTCACAAGCTCCTCGGACTGCAGCTGCCTCCTCTATAAAGTGATCAGACTGACACTCACCTCATGTTTGAAAGCCACATCTGTGGTAGGAGGAACATTATTCATGTGTTAATACTGCCAAGTTAATCCCTTCCTACACCCTTTGAACTTTGGGGATTGAGGTCAGAAGAGGATGAGATAGAAGAATAATGGGCCCAAACCAAGGCTGGGGAGAGGAGTTCTGAGGGCATTTAGGAGAGAGGCGTGGAGCAATGGTGAGGGAAGTTGATGGGATCTGAAACAGGCATTTTAAGGAGATTTGCTGTGGTTTTGGAATCCCTCTCATAGTGTCCAAGACTACGATAAAACACTTGAGATGAAAAAACAAACACCAGAAACACTTGAGATAGTGTGACGTTACACTTTGGCTCTTAAAATGTGTTTTCTGAACTTCCTGTGATCCTATTGAAAGACTGAGCTGCATTAAGACTATGGATTTGTACTTGACATACATGGAAAGCACCAGGGACTGTGCCAGGAAGTCAAAACTGCAGTTATAAAAGTTGTTATAGCTCCTGAGGAGAGGTCCTGGTTCAAGCCAGAGAGACAGGGGATCCCTGAGTCCTGATGCTCTGGCGGAGGCTGGCTTGTGTTCCGCACAATCTCTCCTCTCCAGGCTCCCTTCAAACTGTGTAATCACTCCTTCCTCTTTCATGCTCCTCATTGTTCCCTAGGCTATCAGAAATTATCGCCCTCTCCAGGTATTTTGTTTTGAGGGAGAAAAGACAGATCAGTTTTCCCCTACTGTATATTGATCTACTCAGAAAAAAATTTGAGTGCCAGGCACTGGCTATTCCAGTCTGGGTATACAGAAGTGAACAAAAGACTAAATTCGTTGTTTTTAGGGGCTTAAATTTTTGTTGTTAATCCTCACCACAGGATATTTTTTTCATTGCTTTTCAGAGAGTGGAAGGAAGGGAGAGACAGAGAGAAACATTGATGTGAGAGACACATCAATTGGTTGCCTCCCAAATGTGCCCCAACCAGGGTGTGGGGTGTGAACCCACAACCCAGGTATATGCATGTCCTTGCCAGGGAATTGAACCCATGACCCTTTAGTGTGCGGGCAGACATTCTAACCACTGAGTAACACCGACCAGGGCAGGCACTTAAATTTTAAAAGAGAAGATAGACAATAAATGAAATAAATAAATCCTAAGGATGCCAGATAGTGATAAATACTCAAAAAAAAAAAATTCACAAGGAAAGGAAGATAGAAAATGTCAGTGGAGTGGGGATGATGGTGGATTAACCAAGAAAGGATTCACTGAGGTGACTTGAGAATCCAAAGGGAGTAAGGGAGTGAGGGTCTGGGAGAAGAGCATTCAAGGCAAAGCAAAGGCCCAGAGAGCAGTGAGACAAGTGAACTGGAGGAACAACAGTGGCCAGTGAAGAGTAAACATGGATGAATGTGGAGATAGTCATAGAGATAATGGGGTGAAGGCAAGGCCTCCCTCATAGGATCTTTAGCTTTTATTCTGAATAAAAAGAGAAACAGTGGGAGAATTGTCAGTATAGAAGTAACAAGCCCTAGACAGGACCATTTGGCTGCTATGCTGAGAATAGACAACAGAGGATCAAAGATAAAGGCAGAAAAAACAATTAAATTATTGCAGTAATCTAGGCAAGAGGTGCTTGGTTGTCTGTTGAGGGTGTGGTAGGGGGTGGTGATGAGAAGTGGTTTAATTATGGATATATGTTGAAGGTTGATGGTTCAGCTGTGAGAGAAAATGAGTAGTTAAGGGGCCACCAAAGTTTTGAGTGAGAACTTGAAGAATGGGCTTATAACATGGTGTCTGGCACTAGAACATGTAAAGCTTGGATCTGTTGGAGAAAGAAGCAAAAAGTGAAGCAAGCACATATGCAGGAGAAACAAAAGATGGAGATATTCCTAATGTTTAAATTCCTGCTTCCAGCTCGTTCCTGAATGCCAGTTGCATTCCTGTCCTTGAATTCAGTCCTGTCAATAAATTAGGTCATTATTGCTTAACTTGCTAGAATTTGGTTTCCCAATCAAAAAAGTCTTAATTATCCTTAATTAAATTAGCAAAGGAAGTGAGAATTTGCACACTATAGACCAAAACGGATGGAATGGGCTGAGAGAAAGTGGGGCATAGGCTTGAAGAACCCCCATGTTGTGTTAATTAAGCTGGCAGGTCTTGTACCGTATCACCTGTCATCTCTTCAGGCTCCAAGCAATTGCCTACAAAAGCTGGAGATTTAGGGGACTTAGTGGCAAAATGTCAGGAAATTAAAGTGTGTTGGTTGTTCTTTGAGACATTTAATAAATTGTTATGTTAGACACACTGTAATTCAAGGTAGTTGCCTCAAAAATTAATAGGAAACAACACAACATGTAAGAAACCCTTTCTTTCTGAAGTCAAAGATTCAAATAATTGAAAATCTTGCAGCCATATTTCCTATTTCTACAACTAAATTACTGTTTTCTAAATTGTGGTTCGCTGGCTGTTGGAATAGGGGTATTTAAGAGAAACCAGAAAAATTAGGGACACCTCAACCCCTGGGTCACTCCCTAGGTCCTCCACTAGGTAGGTGAGCAATGGCTGGTGGCAGGTATGCATCCCAGGGCACCAGCCTCGCCATCCTGAGACTGTGCTTAGGCCCAGGCATTGCAGTTCCCTTTAGCAGATTTAGTACTCAAAGATTATGACTTGACAAGATTTCTTGAACTGGTAATAAGGAAATACAGTCAACAAAGAGGAAACTGCCAGCCAGCCAAGATGTTGATTGATTGATTGATTGATTGATTGATTTTAGAGAGAGGGAGATAGATGATAGATAGATAGATAGATAGATAGATAGATAGATAGATAGATAGATAGATAGATTTGTTATTCTTATTTATGCATTCATTGGTTGCTTGTTGTATGTGTCCTGACTGGAGATTGAACCTGCAAACATGGTGTATTGGGATGATGCTCCAACCAACTGAGCTACCTGGCCAGGGCAGCCAGCCAAGATTTTAAAGGAGTCATATCAACCATAAAAATCCCAAACTTGGCAACAGGGCCTGTAATTGCTCAATCCCTGAGGCAATCTACAGGCCCTAGTGTTAGTCATTCTACAAATATTTTTTGAATGCCTATTGTTGCCAGCCATTCTAGGCAACAGCGATATAGCTGAGAACAAGGTCTTTGCCTTCACAGAGTTTAAATTCTACTGGTTCCATCACTAATAGGAATTGACTTCTAAAGTACACAGTCCATCCTCCCACCAGGCACTCCTCTACTGTTCTCTCATTATAAGTTCTGAGCCCTAGCCGGTTTGGCTCAGTGGTTAGAGTGTCAGCCTGCAGACTGAAGGGTCCCAAGTTTGATTCCTGTCAAGGGCACATGCCTGGGTTGCAGGCTCAGTCCCCAATAGGGGATGTGTAGGAGGCAGCCAATTAATGATTCTCTCTCATCATTGATTTTTCTATATATATATATTCTGAAAGATCCAGGGCAAGGAAAATTCTTCCAGCAAGTAGGCCCTGAGGCAGCCATATTGCCTGACCAAGCTCATTGCCAAAAATTTAGTAAACAAATGGACACTCATTAAATTATCTAGCCAGCACTTTTTAAAAAATCCTCATCTGAGGATATTTTTCCCTCTTTAGAGAGAGTGGGAGAGAGGGAAGAGAGAGAAACATTAATGTGAGAGGGACACATCAATGGTTGCCTTGTGCACACACCTTAACTGGGGCCAGGGATCAAATCTGCAACCCAGGTACATGTCCTTGACCAGGAATTGAACCTGTGACTCCTTGGTGTGCGGGCCAGCGTTCCAACTACTGAGCAACATCAGCCAGGGCAAGTCTTGGCATTTAAAAAAAAAACAAACATATTTGTATTGATTTCAGAGAGGAAGGGAGAGAGAGCTAGAAACATCAATGATGAGAGAGAATCATTGATTGACTGCGTCCTGCACATCCCCCACTAGGGATTGAGCCTACAATCCGCTGAGCCACGCCAGCAGAGCAAAACTTGGTACTGTTTTACAAAGGTGTGATCCATGTTTTAAGGACAATCCTATCTAATAATAGACAAACATGGTAATTGACCGGACCTTCGCTATGCCTCCCATTGGCTAATCAGCGAGATATGCAAATTAACCGGCAACAAAGATGGTGGCTAATTTTCATACTGCAGGCAGGGCGGGACAGCGCAGCCGCCAGCGCACAGCCGCCATCCAGGTCCCCGTGTGCGATCCCAGAAGCCGCCCAGAAGCCGGTGATCAGGGGAGATGGGGGTCCCCTGCCCAGGCCTGACACCTCTGACGGAGGCGTCAGGCCTGGGCAAGGGGCCAATCCAGCGATGGGAGGGTGATGGGGGTCATGCCTCTGGCCGAGACAACAGGCCTGGGCAAGGGTGGAGCTGGTGATTGGGGGGAGATGGGGGCCCCCTGCCCAGGCCTGATGCTGGTGATTGGTGTGAACTACAGAGGAAACACCTTTTCTGACCGCTCATTGGCTAAGCTCCCTATATGCTACTGGTAATATTCTTAGTAACTTGGGTAATAAGAATCCAAAAAGGTGATCTAGGGTTCTTCACCACACTCCTGGCGAAAAAAAACGAAGGTCTGCTGCTGGAGGGCTAAGAAATGTCATATCCTGCCCTAGCCAGTTTGGCTCAGTGGATAATGCCTTGGCCTGCCTATGGCAGGGTCTGGGTTCAATTCTGACCAAGGGCATGTACCTAGGTTGCAGGCTCCTCCCTGGCCGGGGCCCAGGTCAGAGCTCATGCAGGAGGCAACCAATCAAAGTGTTCCTCTCACTTTGATGTTTCTCTCTGGCTTTCCCTTTCTCTTCCACAGTCTCTAAAAATCAATGGAAACATATACTGAGGTGAGGATAAAAAAAATAATAAAGAAATTATTATTATATGAAAGACACATCTTGAAAATGCCTAGAGAAAGTTGTCATTTTTTCATGGTGATGGGACTGGAGTCCGTGTTGATGAAAAAACCTTGCTGGCTGCAGTGACTGGCAGTGG